TAGGGTTTAGGGTTTAGGGTTAGTGGTTCAGGGTGTGGGGTTTGGGGCGGTAAGGTTCAGCTATACGTTGATTGTCGAAATCCTGTTGAACACGGGAGTATTCTGCGTTTGTAAAGTCTTAAACCCCTGCGTATATTGGAGCTGGTGGTGCAAGCTCTAACCTTGCAACTGAATATCCAGAACCCTATAGACCCTCCTCCGGGGCCTACCTAACCAGGACTGCTTGGTAGGCCCATCCCCCGGACTCTGTGACCATCACGTGACTGGTACAGGGTCTCCATTTGAGGTGTTCGGAAAACCCCTCAGTGGGCCCTTGACTAAATACGTCGCATGCCCCGAAAGAAGCAGCGAACCCAGAACCGCTACAACATCTACCCGCAGGTTTAGCACCTGAACCCAACACCTAATCCCCGAAACTCTCACCCCCAGCCCTAACCCCATGTTGATTCCGGAATCGGACCAGCTGGCTGGGACTCAACCCTAAACCCTAAACCCTAAACCCTAAACCCTAAACCCTCGAACCCACCCCCAACCCCCCCCCCCCCCCCCCCCCCCCCCCAAAAAAAAAAAAAAAATTCCACAGGCCGTCCGTCAAAACGGAAGATGAGCTGCTCGAGCCGGTTTTGACCGCAGTCCCCCATGTTGCACAGGGACGACACCTAGAAGGGCTAGGTTCGGTTTAGGGTTTAGGGTTTAGGGTTTAGGGTTTAGGGTTTAGGGTTTAGGGTTTAGGGTTTAGGGTTTAGGGTTTAGGGTTTAGGGTTGAGGGTTGAGGGTTGAGGGTTCAGGGGTTGAGGGTGGGTTGAATTTGAGGGTTCCGAAATAGGGGTAATGACTGCTGTTTTGTCTACCATAGACTTAGACAATTAGACATCTTTGGAAATGTAGGATGAAGGGGACAGTCTTGCGAATTCTTTGAAAGGCTCCCGGCCAAAGGCTTTTGGAGCCTCTTGGGGTTCTGGGTTTGCGGGATTCAGAGGTTTCGGGTTTAGGTCCTTGAGGGGTGCTCCCACAATTGGCAGGCACAGCAAGGCTCAGAAAGGCACGTCGCAGCAAAAAACAGCAAGCAACATTAACTGCAGGAGCAGGTCGCAAAGTTGGGCCCTGCAACATAAGCCCGCCCTTTGCCCTAACATCCCTAGAGCCTAAGGACTTGTATATTGGCAATAAGGTGTAGACGGGTGTTATTATATAGGTCTTTGAGGAGTATTGAATTCACGTGGCTTGCGGAGTGCAGCCCTTTTACCCTGCGGCTCTTGGTGTTCCACGCCCCAACCAGCCACTCCTCGCACTCTCCCAGCCCAGAACACACATGCAAAAACCCTCTGTGTATATATATATATATATATATTTATTTATTTATGTATATAACTGTATATATATATATATATGTATATGTGTGTGTGATGTAGAAGTAGATATGTTAACGTATACGTACACACACAAGCTCTAGACTAACACCGGGCACTAAACATGAGGGATGCCGAAGAGCTATGAAGCTCCAGCCCAACTTGTCCACGAGGCAGTCCTCCCGATCCAAAGGCATTGGGTTTCGGGTTTAGGGCCTAGAGTTCGCGTTAAAGGTTTAGGGTTTAACCTTCGAAGGTCTATAGGTTTTCGGGGTGTCCAGTTCGGGTTCGGGCATTCTGAGTGCCACAGTTGTACAATGTGCCTAGGTGAAGGCAGTCGGGGGCTGCATGGCCCGGTTGCATGGTGTGGCGGGTGGCCATCTGTGTGTTTAGGGTTTTTTGGGCTCGGGGAATTCAGGGAACCTCCTGTCCATGCATCTTGGGATTTAGGGTCGGAGGCTTCTTCTCTTGAATACAGCCGTGTGGGGGCTGCCAAGTGAAGGGCCCGAGCAAGGGTTGAGGGTGTAGGGCAGAAATAGCGAAGCTACAAGGAAGCCTGGTAGCCAGTTAGGGACTCCGACACAAGGAGCACTTTCGGACAAGTGAAACACTGAGACACCCACGCACAGCCGCATCATCCACTGGGCCAGGTTGTTCTCGAACCTTCCCCTGCGCAGGAAGGGCTTTGGGTTTCGCTGCCACTGCTTCTCCCCAAGTCGCCGAGGAGAGGAGTCGTTCGGGAGTGGCTGAGGGTTGTTCGGGGAAGCGGGCTGCTTCTGCGATAGTGGTCTCAACACGGCGCCAAAAGCTTTTTTTGCCAAGGGCTGCCGTGCGGCCAGAAAGCTCTTGCACACATGGTGCAACCACCTGAAATGCTGCCCTAGCCCACAAAGCCGCACCAAAACAACTCCTATGAAGATGGCTGTGCCGGAGGGCCTATGCTTGGAGCCGCAATCGGCTGGAATCCCTAAAACGCCCTCTTTACCAGCAAAAAGGGGCCTGCAAAGGAACACATTGCAGGCATAGGTATCCTCGCCATTCGGGCCGCGTATGCGCTCGCCACCCAAGTACTGAGTGACAAAGTTGCTGAAATCCTCCGCGCACGGGGTGTAGGGTTTAGGGCTGCTCCCTTGCAAAAGGGTTACATCGAAACTCGAACACGAACTTGCAAGGCTTGGCTCGCGCAACAGAAGCCTCTCAAGCCCCTCTCAGCCCTCAAACCCTACCCCCTGATGTCCTCACGACAGCCGAACGTCCTCAACCCAGAACACTAGTTCCTGCTAGGACCTCAAGCCCACGCACTGCTTGCTACTGACACCGTGCCGGCGGGATACCCTAAGCCCCTAAACATCCTCAAGCCTGAGCCCTAAACCCTATGCCCCAAACCCCCAAAAAGCCCTGAACCCCTTAAAGCCTTGAAACCCACGAACTCCTGCTTCACCTGTACGATCTCGGGACTCTCCCGCTTCTTCTCGGAGCCCGGACCAATCGCACGCAGCCGAATACGCCTCCGGCATGCTGCTGGTAGAATTAGGTGTCGAAATTCGGGATTTACACGATCTTCGAGTTTCTTCGGCGATCGATCGCAAGGATTCAGGCCTTCTTTTGCGGGGGGAAGGGGTATTGCATTTGCCTAAGGCAATGAAGGCTTCCGGTTTGGGCGGTGGGTATGCCAGAGGCCAGGAGATGCCGCCAAGGAGCTGATTTGCCAGGACCTGCAGGGCAGCTTAGGGTACCAAAACCGCGAAGGATGCTCATCCCTAACCCTTTTCCCTTAACTCTGCGCCTGGAAACTGGGGAACAAATCGCAAAGCCCCCTAAACACCTCAACTCCAAAAGCTAAATCCCCCTCTCAAAGCGGAGACGAACTCCCAGCATCGATTGCTCAGCCTGCGTCGTCTCCTCATCCTCGAAAAGCTCCGGCTCGCCTTCACCTGAAGCTTTCTAGGACCACGAAAGCCCATTAAGCCCTAAGTCCTGAACAACCACCGCTCGCCTGCATAGAGCTCGATGAAGACGTGAGGCTCTACGGTTCCAACCTCCGGAAACAGGAACCAGAGCACTTGCAATGAGTCGTGCATTCCTGCTGAGGTTAGAAGTCCGGCAAGCGAGCTGGAGCCGCATTAGGAGGGTGGTGGGGCTCGAGTTACTCATGCAAGCGAGCTACTTCTCCTTGGAACTCAAGGCCTAGAGAACTTCGTGACTTTAGAGCCGTTTCCCTCGGAAGCTTTATAATAGGGGCTTCTATGGACTAGAGTACAAGGGTACGGGCTTTGCGCCGCTGGCTTTGCTTAACCCTGAAGGGCATTTGTTTAGAGGGGCCAAGGGGCCAGCCCAGAAGCCGCCAAGGTCTAGGGTCTAGGGTTGCGACTCTCACAGTGGCATGCGCGGTCTAGGGTTTAGGGCTTATAGGGTTTAAGGGCCGTTTAGGGCTTAGGGCTTAGGATCCCCAAACCGTGAACCTTGAATCCTTTGGGTCTAGGGATTAAGAAGGGTTTATGTGTTGTGGATTCCCTTTGCTTGCCTTACGGGCCTCCCCATCCACCAGCTGGGTGAGTCCACACAACCCTTTGAGCAACCTGTAAGAACAAACCCCGAAGCCCTCAACGCCCCTCGCAAAGCCCCCCAAAGCTTGCCTAGTCTTGTCCGGCCCGTTAAACCCCTCACACCCCTAGCTCAGCCCTAAACCCTAAACCCTAAACCCTAAGCCCTAAACCCGAAACCCTCAACCCTACTTTCTACAAAGCCTTCAGAGAGGTCTTCTCTCTTTGCCTCGGTCTTCCCCGGCCGGAAGAGGAGCTGCTGCTCTCGGCACCAGGCGCCGTCCTGCAGGGCGGGGGCGGGGGGGGGTTAGGTTTAGGGTTTAGGGTTTAGGATTTAGGGTTTAGGGCTTTAGGGTTGGGACGTTTCGGCCCCACATGACATCGCGTTTCCCAGCCGGAACGGCCGTCTCCAGGTTGCAGCTGTCTGCAGAAACACCTGCCAACTCTTGTGACAGACTGCTACTATGGCTCCTCCAAGACCTGCTGTTGTGAGGCCACCTGGATTTCCTGGGCTCGCGGGCTATCCAAGGTTGAGAGTGACTTTTAGAGGCAATTGGGCTCAGCCCTCTTTGTACGTCTTCTCGGTTGAACCTTAGAGCTGCATAGTAGACAAGGGCCGGTTCTAAACTGTGCATCTACTGGTTGGCCACGCGCGTTTCTACAGACATCTGGTTTCTAAATCGGAAGATGCCGCTTTAGCTTTGAGCCGTTTGTGAAGACCCACAACCCCAGGTACCAAAGGATGGACGCGCACGTTTCTAAACTTTCGCGTTTCTTGACTGATTGGAAGAAACCACTCTGGCTATGGATCGTGTGTGACAAACCATAAGAGTGCATGACTATGCAGCTACGTACTTGAATTCCTGACACTTCGAACCTTAAAGCCTTAAACCTTAAACCCACTTCAAGTTGTTGAGGGTCTGAACGACTCCTTGATTCGAACGGCACAGGCTTGGAGCACCCATGAACGCACCGGACACTTTGCTTCAACCTTTTCCTGCGGCCCTGAGTAGGGCACATGGAGACGGAGTCGCCCCTGCCCATCTGGGAGCTACCGGGGCCTAGAAATCAGCGGCCCCCTCAAAATCAGCTGACCACCACCAAGGCA